AAGCTGCTATAACTGAGGATGTTGATGCCATCCAAGCTGAAGCTCGTGATAATGACCTTCCCATCACCTCTGCACCTGTTGCTGGTGATGTTGAAAATGAAGATGATGATGAGGAAGGTGACTCTTCTGATATGTCTGACTTCGGCGGCGACCTGGATGATGATGATGATGACGACTTCATCATCCAGTACCAGCGTCCTACCACTGCCACCAAAGGAGTCGTCCTCAGGGATTCTACATCCCAGGGGAGCAAAGGGAAGAAGAGCCAGGGCTTTAAGTCGAAAGGCAAAGGCATCGCTAAAGAAGGGAATTTAAAGGTATTATTTCAATCCTCTCAACCCTTATTTGAAGACTCCACTTCTCAGGTAGTCATCACCTCCCTGTATCAAATCGAGATACCTTCTACTACCTGCAGTCGGCTGGAATGGGTCCCTGAGAACCCTACCCCCAGCACTCCCTCCGACCAGCAGATGACTCAGCTCAAAGAGTTACTCGACCAGACTAGAATAAAAATCTCTCTTCGTACCTCTAGTGGTGGTGAGTTCGACTTCCTGATAGAAGCTGAAACACTCGAGGCCTTAAGAGCTGGGGAAGAACTTACAATCTAAAAGAAACAGACTAAGGATAGCCTAAAGTTGGCCAAGTCTCTATCTGAAAAAGTTTTTCCCAAAAGAAGGTGACTGCAGTCCAAGCCCAAGCTAAGATCCTATCTCTTGCAGAAGCTGTCACGAGAAAAACCTGGAGCTGGCTGAGCGGGACAAGCACTGGAGCAAAGCAAGTATCAACAAGAGAATCAGCCTTCACCCAATCAAGAGCGTCAGCATCACCAGACGATTCAAAGACGGTGGGATGCTACTCCCCATGCTCATCACCAGGGATAATATCAAGGCCGTGATCGAGTACCCCTCCTACTTTGGCGAATATGGCTACAGCGAATGGCTGGAGATCAGATAAGCCTGACATAAGACGATTATCAAAGACCTTATCAACGAGTTGATCAAGAAAGTGTCAAGATATGTCGCAATCCCTAAAGTGCCAATGTTGAAGAAAGGAGGAAGAAAGGAGGAAGAAAGAAAAGACCTTCAAGTCCTAATGATGGATCATCCCTGAGGAACGAACATGAAACAAAATTCTCCTTAGATGAAGTCTTGAAGGATTATGAGAGTCCAGACATCTCTATGCTGAATCTTTCTTTGCCAGCGAAGGGTCCTTATGTACCCAACACCGTGCACTTCAAACCTGAGTAAGGACTTATATTCCTTGACTATGACGGTGAAGTAAGATTTCAGAGAATGTCTGAGTTACATCTATTCCCTATGGAACACCTCGTTTATCTCAGGTTCTGGCTATATGATGACTTAAAAGGTGTATTGGTGGACCGAAAGATAAGAAGGGAGTTTCTACATAGAAAGGAGCTTAGAGAAAATGTACCAGGTTAAGCTGAGCGACTTAGACTAGTTTATTTCCTTTGTAATATTGTCCATGCACTGTAAACTATATCTTATGTCTACTTTCAGTGATTATTCTAATATTTTGTAAGTCTAGACATGTACTAAAACACTTGTAATATTTCCTTTGAATTTAATATAAGTATTTTTTGTGCATCACTGAAAAAGATCCCTGAAAAGAGTAATAGGGACACAAGTCTATGAGTTCCAGTGTTACTCTTACATTCACTGACAATCTATAAGTCAGTGAATATGCTTTCAGGTTCAGTTTTCCTTCTTTTAATTTTTCTTAGACTTAATCTTAAGAAAATTTTCTAAGTAAAGACTGACTCACTGAAAAAGATCCCAAAACAGTTAAAAGGGACATGTACTTTATATATAACTTTTCCTTACTGTTTTTTGATAAGACAACTTTCTTTATGTTGTCTTGTTATCATCAAATAGGAGGAGATTGTTGATCCTCTCTCTCAGTGATTTGATGATAATCTCTTTTACCTTGTACGAAGTATTTATGTTTCTGTCTTTCAGTTCCAACGATCATCACTGAGTCTGTTCAGTGATCGCTGAGAACATGTAATGTAAATCTATCAGCGACAACGATATTTCAAGAAAACAAAACTCACACCAAAAAACCTTCAGCAAAAGTCGAAGACTGAAACTGAAGATTAGAGACTGGCAAGTATGTGATCTGAAGCAGTATTCAGTGATTACAACCTAGTTTACACATGTGTGAAGACTGCCCAAGCCTCAGCGAATGCTGAAGTGACCTTCAGGTTATTCCAGCATTCAGCGATCAAAAGAAGCTTGTTGAGCATGATTGCTTTTGTCTTGTCCTTATACACACAAAGGACAAACCATACCCTTTCTAAAGTATAGTACGGTATGGAGCCGATTAGTTGACTCTACTACCCACCAACTTTATGAAAGGATGTTTGTTCATGAATAGGCTTTTGTACTATTCACTGTAGCAAAGGACAAGTCTTTCTCTAAAGGCTTGACACGTGTTCAAACCCTACTACGTTGCATTAAATGTGCATTTAATGCAATGGGTATAAATAGATGTGTTTTATCTCCATCCAGAGATACTCTAATACTTACTCTTGAACCATAACTTAAGTTAATAAGTAAAAGAACACACATCTAAGAACACACATCTAAGAACACAATATTCTTATCTTCAAAAGCATGTTAGAATCCCTTTTTTGTATTCTAAATATAGTTCTTATCCAGAAAGAACTAACTTCATTCTAAGTCTCTTACAACAAATCATTTCTCTTTGCTAAGATCTAGTGTGTAACTTAGATTGTTTAGATAGGTTATATTTACCTTATCTTTCCGTAAACAATCTTGTAAAATATGTATTGATATTTCTTTATCAATATATATATTTATATATATATATTTTTTAAATTTGAAAAGTTTACTGTGTTTGTATTCATCTCCCCCCCCCCTTCTACAAACTGTTATACACATCTTGTAGACCCTAATCGGACCAACATATGTGTATCAATGAGAGCCCACCATGAAACACCCACACACCAAGGCTCAAGCTCTTAAATAATTCATATAAAACTCAAGGGTTGGTGTATATTAAGTGGGTTAAGTATCCTTGAGTGTCCTATGTAGGACAAAGTTTCTCACACAAAAGTCGAGTTCCAACATTGTAGTCTCATGAAATTGAATAATAAATCGAAGTCCCTTGTAAATCAATTAATCGAGTCAATGTCTTGTCAAATCCCTTGATGAATTGGACTTTCTCTAAATGATAATCATTTTCTCGGGTTTGTTCGACCGAGTTGGTTGTGGAAAGCATGGGCTATCATTGGAGATGGTGTAGGAGCCCGGGGTTCTTTGGAGAGTCCATGTGTGTGTATATTATTAACATCCCCCTCATCCTCTTTGCACATCCATAGGCCATCATCTCTTGACCAACGTCACCTGCTTCCATCATCGTCTCCATCGCATCTACAATCATCACTCAAAAAGTCCTCCAATAACCTCCCCATCATCAACAACGATAGTGAACCATAAATCGTTACTCAAAACAGTAACAACAACCGGTCAACAATAATAGCAACAAATCACTCATGATATTAACACAACTCTTCATTATTATTTCATCTCCATCATCAACAACAGTCAACAACAGCAACAACATCATCATCTCCATCTCCATAGTCAACAACAGCAGCAATAAATTGATCTGCACTCTAACATTTCGATGAATTTTCAAGAGAAAGAGAGTTGCACATCCAGGAAGGGGAGGGGGTCACGGTGAGAACAAGGAAAGGAGGGGAGGTGTGATCGGTTGTCGCAATGAATAGAATGAAGAAGGGTTAAGGAAGACGATGCTTGAATCAAGGGGGCGTTGGAGATGAGAGCTCCTATGCCCCCCCCCCCCCTCTCTCTCTCCTTGTTTATTGTATAGATGTTTATGTCTTATGTATGTGTATATACATATATGTATATATATATATATATGATATAATATTGATTTATATAAATTTGTTTTTTACTAATAAAATGACTAAAAAACCCTCGACTTAATCTAGTTGCAGTTAATGGAGTTAGAGACAAGGACCCACTCTGCAATGAAAATGAAACTACAGTGACGATATATGTATTTATTTTGTGTAAGGGAACTGACCCATAATTTGTATATAACCAACCATAGGGACGAAATCTATAATATACTAATTTTCTTATCTCTATTAATAATTTCAAATTTTATCCCTAAGGTTTAGAAATTACAATTTTCATTCCTATAATTTATAATTTATTGTTATTTTCATCCATAGGTTAATTTCATCCTTAAAAGGGACCAATACAGTAAAGATTTGTAAATCATAATAATTGAGATAACAATAAATTGTGAATTATAAAGTAGAAAATAACAATAAATTACAAAAAATAGGAACAAGAACTGTAATCTCCAAACCACGGGATGAAAATCACATTTTTTTTAACAAACTATTGATAAAAATTGTAATTTAGGGGTTGTTTGGCAATTGCTGAATTGTTTGGTGCAGAATGATTAAATAGTTAGAATGATTAAGAGCCTCATGATATAGTGTAAAATGAAATATAATTGTTTGGTAATTGTGTACAATAAAATTAGGGCTCTTAATGGTTAAGGGAGATACATAATATACAAAATCATTCAGATGGTTTTAGAACCATTAAGAGTCAGACTTTTTTTTGCCAAACAAGATTCACCTCTTAAAGAAACAATTAAGAGGTAAACAAACAACTACTTATTTTAAATTTAATTTTTAACTAGAAAAATTTCGATTTATGTAAAACGAAACGGTAACACCGAAAAAATTCACAACCAGCCTCCCCATCGAAAACCGCCAGCCCCTCAGCCACGCAAGTCGGCATCTCTCCCACCGGCGGCAACCTCGCCAACCCAAGATCCGGTTTCAGTCGACGATCTTCACACCTCTTCTTCTTTCTCAATTCTAGGTTTTTTCTATTTTATTATGAAATCTAGATGAGTTCTTATATAAAGTTTATGTTCTTGGATTGTCCATCTAACAACAAACAAAATTTGAATAGAATCCTGGAATTATCAAAATTGAACAGATAAAAATGCACAAAAACCAAATCATGAAATTCGATCAATCACAATAAGGACGCTTCATCTCTCTTTATTTACCCATAGTTATACAGATCTAATTCACCGTTCGAAAACATCGTCGATTAAACCCTAATTTCATCCCTCAAATGGGTCCCCTGAAGGATGTCAACCGTCGGGAATTTTTGACCCAAGGCTTATCCCAAACAACAGCCACATAATTCTTGTCCACAGTGCCATCGGCCGCCGTAATCGTGAGATTGTAATTCATTCCGGCCACCACTTGCTTCTCTCCGTTAACCACTGTTGAAAATTTAAGGGACGCCTGGTCCTGCTTGTTGTGTTGATCCACTGCGAACTTGCCGATGTCAACCACCGTAGGGTCATTGACATCGGTAATTTTGGTCCAACCGCCTACAAGAGCCCCACTGCGTGCGGCTTGGGAGGAATTACAGAAGATGAAAGGTAGGAAGAAGATGAGGATTGTGATGAGAAGATTGCGCATTTCGGAAGGATGAATTATGCGAAACAGGAAGAGGGGAGGGGAATGTTGGTGGTTATGGATTATATACAAAACTTCTTGACCGTATTTCTCTCATGGACGTTCCAATTGTTGTTGGTTGTTATGAGGATGTACAACAGGATCCTTGGTGATGTAAGAATTTATTATAAATTATAAATAAAAAATTAATAAACCTTTTTACTTAAAAAATAGAATATTCGAAATTTTTTGTTTAAGAAATCACAATTGGTTGATCATGTTTTATCTCTTTGAAGAATATGTAAACAATAACATGAAATAATTATCTGATTGTTTTGAACTTTGCTCTAAAGATTAAAAGTGTTTGGAAGTTTGAGGTTCGAACTCAATGAGCAATAAAAATCCACTTGTGGCAATGACGTTTCAAATGCGGTGACTCTGGACTATCTGCAAAATGGATTATCGTTCTGAGATTAATCGGCTCACAAAGAAGGTTAATAAAAAAAGTAATATGATTGTTCAATTAAAAATAATAAAATTTGAAGTTTAAATATAATTGGTTTAACTCAAAGTTTTATTGTAATTATAAGAATAAACTATAAACTTGGTCCATCATTTGTTAAAAGTAACATTCTTCGTACTTCCAACTTTAAAATTGTAAGGGGCCATTTACCAAATGTTTATCCGCGTTAGCATTTACCAAGTCACATTACCTTACTGAATCGATATAGCAAGGACCAAAAACCTTACAAGTAAAAGCGAAGGCAAGGACTGAGAGTCTTACCTAGTAAGTAACAGCGACAACTCTTACCACGGTTAACACTTATCAGATTAATTGTTGCATACGATACGTTTTGGTGGACTAAAATTTTACCCGGTAAGTAATTGATAGTTTTATATTTTACCAGTAAGCACTTACCCGGATAAGTGTTGGTAAACAACCCCTAAGATTATAATGGAAAATAAATAAATGAGTAAATTATGTTTTTAGTCCTCATAGTCTATTGATAATTTCTATTTTCTTCTTTATGGTTTTAAAATTATAATTTTCATCTTTATGGTTTATAATTCATTATTTTTTTCGTTTTTATGATTTAAAATTTATTATTTTTTTATTCTTATGGTTTACAATTCATTTGTATTTAATCTTTCATACTTTAAAGTAGTGTTTTGATCTCAATGACGAAAATATAAATAAATTAAAAACCATAAAAATGAAAATTGAAATTTTGAAATTATAAAGACAAAATCAATAATTTTTAACAAAACATAGGAAGGAAAAGCGTAATTTACTTTAAATAAATTTAATTATAAAAAATATGATTTTAGTAAAATAGTAAAACTCTTTACCTCTTAGAAAAAATAAGTCAGACAAATGTCCGTCTCTTTATTTAAATTTAAATTAAAAGGTCGTTTACCAAACACTTATCTAGGTAAATCTTTATCAAATCATATTACATTACCGGATAAATATGGTAAGGAACGAGACAAGAACCAAGAGTCTTACCCTGTAAGTGAGAGCAAAGACTCTTACCACGGTAAATGCTTACCGGGTGAATTGTTGCATACGATGCCGTTTTGATGAACTAAAATCTTACCCGGCAAGTAAATGATAGTGTTAATTTTTGTCCGTAAGTACTTACCGGCTAAATGTTTGGTAAACGGCCCCTAAGTTTTTTATCATGTGAAATGTAAATTAAGTATTTAGATATCAATAAAATGCTAGAGTAAGGTAGCGTTTATTTTTTAAGAGATATTGAAGTCTGAAGTTTTATTTTATTTCTGATTAATAAGAGGTGGTGCTGAAATCTAAATCGATAAAACTGTTTGTTTTTTGTAAACTGATTACCGTCTGAATTTATTTAAATTGTATGTTTTATCGATTAGAAAATTATAATGTTGAATTTATAAATAAGTTTATACAATTTCACCTATTTATTCGTCATCATTACGAAATTTATATTTAAATTATATGATTAGCATCATTTAAAAGAAAATATATCATTAACGGTATGTAACACATTTAAATCCTATTAAAATACACCAATTGAGATATGTGAGTATCGATTTGGTAATGATCAATTGAGAGAAATGATCGATTAAGGTTAATCGATTGAGAAACGTCGTTGCTAAAAGTTTCGAGAACAATAACAGGCAAATAAGATGTTGGTTTACCTCTTACCAGATAAAAGAACAATAAGATATAAGTGCCTCTGAAAAACTGGAAAAAAAAAAAACAAACAGTCTGAATGATCCTACCTCTTAACGAATCAGACATAAAAAACTAATAGAAAAGCCTAATTCTTTTTCATATATATTAATGTTAAAACTTAACCATTCCTAAATTAAACATTACTTACTTTAACTAAAAACCAAAATTATATTTTATAAAATAATTATTGTAATTGTTTCTCTTTCTTAAATATTCGGGAAATTAATTCAAATATCCATTATGCCTATTTAAATTGGCCCATTCTTTTTCCGGCTTTATCTAAATGTCACTGCTTACGTAATATCCACATCCATAATATTGTAGACTTGGCTAAAAGACAGAAAAAAATCATATTCAACCCTGGTATGCAATTACGACGGTTGGGTCTGCGTTACAGCGGCCAGATCGGTAATTGTGACGGTGCTACTTGCTAACTTAGTGGAATTTGATTTTTTTTTTTCTCTTAATCGAATCTACGCTATGCATGTAGATATTATACTATGCGTTAAATATAGGATTGATTCTTATTTTTTGAATGTTCTCATTTGAAGATACTCTCTCTATATATCCATATAGAGTATGAAGTTGGTCTCATGGAAACAAATTTTCATTTGCCTTCAATTATAATTATTTATTAATTTTTTAATTGTTATCGAAGTTTTAACAAATTAATAAATGTAAAAGTGATTAAAAGTGTAAGTTACTATATGTTCACGACACACAAAAATATTGTTAAGAAGTACGTAAATTTATAAGGTTGCACACAAAAGTTACGGTTGCACACAAAAGTACTAGGAGGTCACAGGTTCAAATCCAAGGAGGAATAAAAATCACTTGTGGCCACGGAGGTTCAAATACGGTGACTCCTGGCTATCTGCAAAATAGGTGGTCGCCAAGTGATTAGTGAGCTCACATAGCGGGTTGGATATCCAAGTTAATAAAAAATAAAAAAAAAGACACCCGAGTTAAATCTTGTTGATTGTTGAAACAATTATTCTTAGATGATAATTATGAAAAGATGTGTTAAGATGCAATAATGATAACTAAATGTGTTATCTGTAAATATGTATAATTGTTTTAAAGTCTAAGATAATTATATAAATAATGCAAATAGTTACTAAAATCTTATTTGAGCTATGGACTAACTATAAGATACTCTATATAAATAAGGTGATCGGATAAATCAAATTAAGTGATTGAATCTTGAGATTTAGCTATCAAAAAAATACATAAAATAAACTTTTTTGTTTTCGATAATACACATATAGATTTAGGGTTTTTGGCTAGCACCTAGTGGAGGCGTGAAAGTATTTGTGTGTGGATCACCAGTAGATGAAACTTGCTTTGGTTTCTAAGCGCTCTGCCAAGACCGTCTCCAGATATGAAAGGTACATATTTGAAACACTCTATCGCGTGTTATAATTCGTTTTAATATGTCACTGGGTCCGGATTAGAGTCTTATTTTAGAAAAGTTTTTTTTTATAATTGTAACCTAAATTAATTTTTCTGTTATGTTTCAAATGGTTATAAATTGCATCAAAACCCTACAGTTATATAAGAGCCACTTTAAAATGAATAAATCGTTTAAAATAATATGAAACGGGAAAACCCCAAAACCTCTTTTATCGCCGCCGTCATGCCTAGGTTGTTGCCCACGTGCCGAACTCTATCCCGTCTATTCACCGTCGACTGCCCCTTCCATGCCGCAATTCGCGTACTGTGATAACTAATTTTTAATGTTATTACATGTAATTTATTTTACAATTTTATATCAATTTCAGTCATTTTCCTTCTTAAATGCCAATTTTTGGTCTAATCTTCATCTATGAGCAGAAATTATTCACTATAGTATTTTTGAACCATTTGGTATGATTTTATGCTACTTTCTCGAAAATTATCTGCAATGGGATCTACAATTCCCACTCCAAAAGTTTGAAAGTCAACTCTATGAAGCAGCTAGTTTTGGAAGTAACAAGGAAGCATGAGAAATGCAGAAGAGCTGTTTGGGGGCCTTCTAAGCTTTATTGTGGACGGAGGGAAAAAAAAAGGAAAGGCCAAATGTTGAAAGACAAAAGATGTGTTATCAATAGTGATACTCTTTTGATGAGAGCTCGTTTTTTAGGTGGAAAAGTAGCATTATTGCCTTCCTATTTTTGTTTGTTTTCCCATGCTTATGCCTCTTGTATAAATAATGGTGCTATTCTTTTGTTGAGAGATGGACATGGATGGATATATGGATGCTTAGATAGAAAGTAAAAAATCTTAGGGGGTATTTGGTTAGAGGTATTAGGTAGTAATCAATGGGAATGATAACAGAAGAAACTGTTCGATTTTATATAAAATAATGAGTTCATTGCCCCGTAACCCTAAATTTTCATTCTAGATGAAAGTGGGGGGAATGAAAAATCATTCTCATTTTCATTTCCTAACTTGAACCAAACAATCCCTTAGTCTTTTGTTAGAAATAACATTGATGCAATAGTTGTAGAGATAAAGTTTAGATTTTAATTTGAAAGCAATATTTACCTTCCTCTCTAATCGGAACATGTAAAGGAAGTTCATGAAGATGATAGTGTCTTGATTATCTAGTCCCTGGGGATATGATTATGGATTTTACCAAACTAGTCCTTCAGTGATGATCATAGTAACTAGTTGTATTTTTTATTGTTGACTGTTTGCTAGCTCATTATACTTCAAGAAGAAAAAACTCACACCAAAGAATCTTCAGCAAATATCGAAGACAAATACTGAGGGTTAGAGACTAGTGCGTACGTGATTTGAAGCGGCATTTAGTGATTACAAGTTCGTCTACATATGTGTAAAGACTGCACAAGCCTCAACGAATATTGAAGAGACCTTCAACGTCATCCCAGCATTCAGCTCTCAAATGAAGCTTGTCATGCACGATTGTTTTTGTCTTGTCCTT